CATTTTTCACATGTGGAGCGTTGGGCAACCTAGATAACAATCAATCAGGGGAAAAAAATTCAAACCACTCTCTTTGATCAGATCTCGGATAAGGGCGGTTTAAACTAGGATGACTAGAAAAACAACTGAGAGCAAACCTCTTCAACCGGCGTGTCAATAAAAATGCTAGGTGACATGATGAACGGGTTTTCCTTCAAAACCGCTTTACGAACTTCTTTGACACTTTCCAAAATTTATCTGACCTCATAGACGTATAAAATACATACCATCATTTGAAGGGCGTCGTTTTGGAGCAGAATTTGATCTCGTATCAAGGCTGTATAAGTGATGTGGTAGGTACACTTGTGACGAGGTAGCTGGAGCAGCTAAACGCTAGGGTGAAGACATCATGACAGAAAATGAAAGTGACTGTACCGCAGTGGCGTAGGCAGACCTCGAACAAGGAACATATTATGTACATGGAGAACTTTATGTACTCCCAAGACTAACTCTAAGCTTTCTTCTGTAGTCTGCTAAGATGGTACAGATGAAAGCCTCAACGTTTTATTCCAGGGCACATCGTTGTTGGGGAATCCCCAACGGGGGTCGTATTTGGCCGCCAGGAGAGGGGGGTCGTATTTGGGCTGAGAAAAATTTATTTTGATAGTTGATTTTTCTCGCTTCACGGACGTTGTAAAGGGGGGGGTCGTATTGTCTCGCGGCTTTTCCTGTTTCACATGTGCTATTTACCCCCCTCCCCCCCCTCCCCTCCCCCGCTCGACGGCTCGATTCGATGAGGAAGGGCAGAGAACATGAGGCTCGAAGGGAATCGTAACCAACCCACAAAAAACAGGGGAATCTTACCAACTCACAAAAAATGTGGGGGGTCGTACAGACTCGACCAAAATCCCCAACCAATTGTGCCTTGTTTTTATTCTATTCACTGCATGCTGGAAGGGTTCTTGGTTTCTGTGCGACTCAAAAGTGCAAGGGGATGGGACTGGAGGCAGAGTACAGCATCGTTGTGCGAAATCCATCGGGGGGGGGTCTACTTGGTCGCTGGGGGGGGAGTCGTAAACGCAGGGTCGGTGTGCACCAAACAGCACAAAAGTGTCATCGCTAAGTTTGATGGAGAGGACGGAAAGCTGCAGAGGACCCGGATGTAAGGAAGACTACAAAATATTAAAACAATTGATTAGCAATATCAATAGGCATGAACTCGTAAGTACGTAGATGACTGAATAATACAGCTCAAACAGATTCGTGCGTATTGTCCTTTCCAAACCCTAAACAAACATCTGCTTGCATGGATAAAAGCACCTGAAATTAGAATTTACACCTTTCCACCACCTCTGCGTAGAAGCGTAATGCACGGCGCACACTCGGACCAAATCGATCGATGATAACCAAATTATGCTTTGACTCAGTTCAACGGGAATATGTGTTTTGAAGGCATATTGAAGTTCGCGAATGAGTATCCTTACAATGGCACGAAGGAGTCGAGCTTTTGAGTGGCTCAGAATGTCGTCCAAGGTGACCCATCCAAAATATCTTCTGAAACGGAGGGTCTTCGGGAAAACTGGTGAGCCCCTTGTAAGAGAAAATATTGGGCACTCTAATGACGTTCACAGTTTTGCAAAAGATTGCGTTCGAAAGAAGGTATTCTCGTCTAGAACACAGAAAAACCCGCTCACAATTTACCACTAACGCGTCCGTAACCCATCCGAAATATTTCACGAACGAGGAAGATTCAGATTGAAAGTAGGTAGAAAACGCAACAGTAGAGACATTGCTCCACGCTCCGCTTTCCATTTCTCAAAGGCCCCACACCCAAAAAAGCCGTCAGAAAAACTCCGCGATTTCCACCCGGCAAACAGATCTGCTCCACCGCTAATTTGTCCATGGAATCATAACGCGGTCCGCAAGCGCTTGCGAGTCGTTACGTATGTGTTACTTCTCGTCAGAACAAACAACCAGAGCCGGGAAGGGGAGGGGCTCGTACTGACACCGCCATTTCACACATCACGATATTTAGCATCCGGTATCGTAAAGTTGTTTCAGTGGAATTCAAGTGGAAAGTGACTACAACAGCTTCAACAATAATCATATCAGGACTTCGGTTCGAGCGAGCATGCTAGCAACTCCAGGGTGATGGTCAGCAGCGCTGATGTAGCGCGGGTACGTGATTTAGTGATTGGATACTATAAAGATCCCATCACCAACGCTCTATGTGATGTGCTATTTCGTTAATGTGCTGAATGGCACATGATTTCCTGTCTCTCAGCAGCCGATAGGCTTCATGCCTTTCTGACTTCACCTGTCCAAAAGGGATCCGGTGCCAGGGCAACCGGGAGAAATGTTTTTCCCAACGCGGCGAATTTCTTTCAAAGCCAAGTACGACCCCCCCCCTATTCCCGCTTGGGAGAGGGGTGTGACTTAGGGCTTCGAAAGAAATTTGCCGCGTCAGGGAACAACATATCTCCCGCTTCTTGACTTTTCGCGGTTTTTCCCGTTTCACATTGGCTATATACCTCCCACCCCCTCTGCCCCCTCTCGCCAGGGCACAGCGTTCGATGGGGATTCCCTATGGGGGGTCGTATTTGGGCTGGGAAAAATTTATTTTTATAGTTGATTTTTCTCGCTTTGCGGACGTTGTTGGAGGGGGGGCGGGGGCCCTCGTACCACTCTCATTGTTGGGGGATGTCGTATTTACTTTCTGGCTTCCCCCCCCCCCTTCTTACGCTCGACGACTCGATTCGATGAGGAGGGACAGACGGCCGGAGGGGGAGGGGTCGTACCACCCCCCCCGCCAAAAAATAAAAGGTAGGGCGTCTGGTCGTTACAGGCTCGTAATTAAAAGTCCCCCAACCATGAATGTGCCCTCCCCGCCCCAAAAAGAATTTCACCCAAAAAGTCCCCATCGACGGAAACTTTGGATGAAAACTGAAAAATGTGGGAAATTGTTGACAAAACTGGTAGGAAGCGGGAACTTGCAGAAGTGGTAGCAAGGTTTGGGGAAAGGGAAGGGTCGTACCAGAGGCTCTTAGTGGTGGGGGTTTGTAACTGACATCACCATTTCACACTCACGATGCTGTACCCTGTCCGGTGCAGGTTGTGGCAGCACCTCCAGCCATCTCCGTTAAAACTAGAGTGGAAGACTGGATTACCGTCAGTCAGACAACTTCAAATGTGTGGAGCTTCGACACACATAAGAACTCTGGGCAAACCCAACAGGAAGGGCGGAACAGGTGCAATCATCGATAGGCCCATTTTTGCCTTACTTTTTCCCACCTATTTGTCATCCAATCGGCGCTATATAAGCCTTCCACTCAAGTCAATGGTACGACAAAGAGCAGACCAGAATGAACCACACATTCTTATTGACGGCTACTGCCATCCTGACTTTTTTATTTCTTGGCTCCACCATCTGTATTGTTCACGTTTTGGCTGATATTAACTCATTCTTCAACGATGTCATGCAAGATATGGACGATTTCAAAGTCATGTTTTTTTCTCTCCCCTGGAAATAACAGTTTCTGAAGCAGTTTTTCGTTTAGGGTACAGCTGACGATGCTTGGAAAGTTATTATGGACTCAATCAACAGTCAGCAAGAGCGACGAGAAAAGCGTGATTCCTCAGGGTACATTCAGTGCCCGCCGCTCAACAACTGTCCACCAGGCCCTCCAGGACCTCCAGGATATCCAGGACAACCTGGTGTCGATGGCGAAAAGGGACAAGATGGAAAGCCGGGCGAGACAGGCTTGATAGCCGAGTATGAAGAGATTGACAATACTACCGGCTGCGTTAAGTGCCCAAACGGTCCTCCTGGTCCGCAAGGCCCGGACGGGCCCGTTGGAGAACCTGGCCCACCAGGTGAGGTTGGCGTAGCAGGACAACCAGGAAGAAATGGTATCATTGGTTTGCCGGGACCAAGTGGTGATGCAGGAGATCAAGGACCTCCTGGGACTCCTGGGTTGCAAGGGACACCCGGTAAGTCAGCGACCCTGAAGAAAGCAGTAGCTGGACAACCTGGTTTGCCTGGGCCACCAGGACGACCAGGAAAGCCGGGACAGAGTGGACATCAAGGAAAGGTCGGCTTGCAAGGACCACCTGGACAACCAAGGTGAAGCAAGGACCAGACGGTATCCCAGGGAGAACCTGGTAGTGAAGGACCCGCTGGACCGCCTGGGTTAGACGGAGCTTACTGTGCATGCCCGGATCGGGTGAAGATTCTCTCTGAATTGGTACCATATTCTAACGGTGATTATGAAATTATTGATGCTGAAAATTCTGGTGACGCTGACGACGCTTCTGGAGCATCTGGTGAAAATGAAGAAGTCATCAATGTTTGACAGCGATTGTTGTTTGATGGTTGAAGAAAATTATATCCAAATAAACTTCTTTTTCCTGCAATGGGCATATTTGATTACATAAAGGCGGCGGTACAGTATACCTCGCTCGGGACCTTGACGGATTTTCGCATAGGCCCAGCCACGCATGACACCAGATGTACGGCGTGATTCCAGGTGTGAGTAATCGCTTGCTCTTCTAGGTAAGATACAGAAGGAACTCATAAGTATATGTTCATACTTTGTGGCAGCGTCTCCCAGCGTCTACTAGCGGCCAGCCACTGTCAGCATCCACCAGCGACCAGCAGCGCCTCAAGGAGCGTCTACCAGCGACCAGCAGCGTCCGCGAGTGAAGAGTAGGGCGCGATAGGAGGGTAGCAGACAGCTGGTAGAGTGTGGAGAGATGGTGATAGGACTGGATTGGATTGGACGCTGGTGGACGCTGGCAAACGCTAGACCATTATCTACACTTCCCTAGTTGCTGATGCTGCCGGACGCTCGGAACGCTGGTGGACGCTGCCGCAAAGTATGAACGCAGCTTAACGCTAAAATCTTGTCTAAGCTAGTGAGCAACAACTAATGAGGTTGTTACGATCAGGGATGTTCCGGTTGCGTTACCCTTGAAACACATGATCAAGGGACTTCGTTGAGTCTCTGTTCCAGAGCAAGTTGAGGGTGTTAACCTGCCTAGATCTAACCTCACATTCAAAAAGCTCTCAGAATCGAGTTATGCACCGTCCTTCGCCAACTAGCAGGAAAAACGCACAACAGCAAGCCATGGGTATTGGAATTGAACTGGTTTTGTGGGTGCAAACTGCTATGAAAAAGTGAAGAAGTTCGGAAATGGAGTTGCAAAGAGAGTAAAAGTAGAAGGACTGAGAACCATAGCTCCGCCCCACTGGCCACGGTAACGCCGTTCCATCTCTGAAGGCATGTGGTGGTGCGCTTCTTCCGATACTACAGTCCTCTTCTTTGCAGACGGGTGGGGCGGGTGAGCGGCGCTGCGCGTGACGCGGCTCAGCCGCCCCACCGGTCTGCAATTAAGGGGACTGTGTCTGGTTTTACTTTGAATGGTGGGATTGAGGAGATGAAAGGAGAGCTTATCCCAGTAAGTTCTCGTCCTACCACGCCCTCTCTTCGCCTCATGCACGAACAAGCATGGGATTCTATTCTATCTGACAGGTTTACCTCCGGCTTTGACTTTTGTGTGAAAAACCACCTTGCCACTGGCATTTGATTCGCTCAAATCTCCATTTTTGAGGTGCCTTCAAAGACAGCTCCCGCGATAAAAGTGTCATGGATAGTTGCTTTTCAATTATGAAACAGTAGCTGATAAGTAATTCCCCAAAGAAGAAAAAAGCAAGAAGAGTCTCAAAGAACACTA